AAAAAAAACATTATTTACAAATTTATATAAGCCGAAAGCTTGAAACAAATATACATATATACTTACTACTACGAACAAACAAACCTCCCTTGACAGAAAAAAAAACAAATAGACAGGACAAGAAAACAAAAGACCATAAAACAAGAATATACAAATACTTATAACTAAAATGAATGAGTCCACTAAGCACAATAGTGACGTAACGGGTGAGAACTTACGATTTTTGGCGGAGCAGAACAAGAGCACTTTTCACATGGACTTACTGCGGATGAGTAAGTCTAGTCGGTACGTTTTGATTCCCTCTTCCTTGCTTGGGTAGGTGGAATGTCGGAATCCTCTCTTGCTTCGGGGGTTTGCCTTTTTATATAGACTCCTGTACTTCGGTGGGGGTGAAAAGGTAGGGTCGAAAGTGGGGTGGTAGCAGAAAGGGCGCAAATTAAGTTGAAAACCTAATTTTCCTAAAAAACTACTTTCCTGAAGGAGAACAAAAAAACCGACACGGGAACTGAAATCTCCGTGGGTGGCTAGGTGGGGTTAAAAAAAAGAATCGTGGTTATACGTCGGAAATTAAAGGAGATACGTTGACCGGCCAAAAAAAATGCTACTGCTAAATATCGACTATTGAAAAAAATAATAGGGACGAGATCCTAAGGGAACGCTTCCCTAAAGGTAAGTTTAAAAGAATAGACAAGAAGATAGAATAAAAAAATTGAAAGATATAAGATAATATTTAGAATATTTGCAGTTTGGGTAGTTGCTCGATAGGCCCCAGGTAGAACGGAGGGTAAGCTCGTTACACTAACGATAACCGGTATTTCTGGGTAACCCATTCGGTCTTGTTTATCTTATATTTCGAGGAATTGGTTTCGCTATAATGATTGTAACAACCAATGGCTTCCATTGAAGTGTTATGACGTTTAGCTTCTTCTAGTCGTTGCTGCGCTGATTTAGCATCGTGTACAGCTTTAGCAATTCCAACAGCACCACCAGAATGAACTCCAAGTGCCGTTAGTCCCGCAAAAATCGGAATCAACGGTAAAGAACCACCTGTCTTTGGATTGGGGATAATTCTAGGATATTTAGATCATTTTCCAAGTTTTCGAATTTGATTCAGTGGAAACATGCGGATAGTACAACATCCATCTGCTCAACCGATAACCAATCGCGACTTCAACATTGTTGCGAAAATAAATCGTCATGGTCCTTTATTACCATCAACAATAAGATGCATCGTCGCTGGACCTTCAAACTGCGGAAAAAACAAATGTGATTATAGGACTTTTGGAGCAACCAAACGGTTTACGGTTTGAAAACGTTTATGTTTATTCAAAGTCGTTATATCAACCAAAATATAAATATTTAAATGAATTATTACAACCAATTGCTGGAATTGGTTATTTTCCCTTTAGAAATTCTGATGAAGTAATAGGTCCTTTACAGGCGAAACCTAATTCTGTATTCCTCTTTGATGATGTTGCGAATGACAATCAGAGTAAGATAAGAGAATATTTTAGTATGGGAAGGCATAACTCAATCGATACTTTTTATTTAAATCAAACATATGCTCAGATCCCTAAACATTTAATCAGAGATAATGCTAATTTAATAATACTGTTTAAACAAGACGAATTAAATCTAAAACACGTTTTTTCCGACCATGTTACTGCAGATATGACTTTTGACCAATTTAAAAGTATATGTGGAGAATGTTGGAAAGAAAAATTTGGATTTGTAGTTATTAACAAGGATTGTGGTATAAATGACGGGAGATATCGCATAGGATTCGATAAATATATATTAATGTAGGTAATATAAATGAAACCACTTGTTAAAAGACAACCATAACAACAGCATGGATGTGAAAGCAAAGAAAGAACTAATCAAAGTTAGGAAAGCAGTAAAGAGGAAACTGCAAATGTTAAAGGAATCGATGGTAGGACAGAATCTTCTATTGCAACAAGCTTATCAACCAATTACAAAATCGCTTCTTCACTTGAAATCTGAGTTGGGTGAAGAGATCAAAAAGGAATTAAAACCAGAGGTTGTTAATTGGTCGAAAGTTGATATTCCAGCATCATCAACTCCAATAAAAATTAGAAAACTTGATCCTTCGAATGCTCCAGCTACCATACTTCAAGGTCCTCCTTCCTTCTTAAGGGAAGAAAGTGTATATGAAGTTGACCCAAGAAGGGATGACAGTGAGTTCGAACAATTAAAAAAAGCATATATAGATTATATCAATAGCTCTCGATTTGGAGAATATTTGGAGGAATTCGATCCTCTACCTCGTGACTATATAGAAGGAATTATTAAAGACTATGAAGGTGATAGATTTAACACTGACGTTGTGAATCCCCGTCTTGACAAAGTTCGATACGAATGGGACACAAATAAATTTTTTATCGGTGATTCTGAAATAGATTTTGATGGATCAGACGTCGTAATCGATGGAAAATTTAAATACACAGGTACTGTGGGATTATACGAGCAACTGTTTAAATTAAGTTCTGAATATCCGACATCAATTAAAGAACGGAGAGACTATGCGGATATATTAAAACGTACGGGAGCAGTATACAATTTAAGGCAGCAAACAACGAAGCCTTCTAAAGGTGGAGGCTTATCGTTGTTGACTTACAACGAAAAACCGATAGAATACAAATATTTTGATGATGTTAATGAATTGTGTGATCGTTTAAAGTTATTGGTTGCTTCTCAACAAGCAGGCAACACAAATCATGAAAACGAAATGCAATCAATTTTAGAAGAGTTGCGGGAGTCTAATATAATCGAATAAACGATTTGTGGGGGTGGTTAGTTAGATAATGGCGATCGATAAGTTCGGACGTGCGTTAGAAAAAAAACGATCATATTCGCGAGCATTTAGCAATGTTCACGATTTTAATCATAACCGCTTAACAAGAATCGGGGACCCTCAGCAGGAGCATGATGCTGTTAATGTACGATTTTTGGAGAAGAAGCTGAAACTTCTTTTATCTCAAGATGATATAGTGAATATTAGGAAGGCATTCGACAAAGTATTGTATTTTGTTGACGTGGCTAATAAACGTATTATACACTTGAATGAGCCTACAGCTGGCTTTCATGCAGCTACAAAAAAATATGTAGACGAAAAGGATAGGTTAACAAAAGAACATATCAGAATAGAATGTGAAAGAGTAAAGGATAGCGCTGTCAGTGAAGGAGATAGAAAGATGAAGGATTTACGAGAAGAATTAAAAACACTTGTCTCCAAAAGTGATCAAAAGATGATGAAAACATTTAATGATAAAATGGATATATTAATTAAAAATATGGGAAGAGAAATTGAAAATTATAATAATGATAGGGATAAGCAAATAACAAAAATGGTTAATGATGTGATAGAAAAGAATGGCGTCATAATCGTGGACACCCTTTCGGCAAAAGTTACAGCGGAGTGTAAAA